AATAATAATAACAGTAAAGTTGGAAGGGACCTTGGAGGTCATCTAGTCCAACCCCCTGCTCAGGCAAGAAACCCTACACCATTTCAGACAAATGGCTGTCCAGTCTCTTCTTAAAAACTTCCAGTGTTGGAGCATTTACTGCTTCTGGAGGCAGGTTGTTCCACTGATTAATTGTTCTCACTGTCAGAAAGTTTCTCCTTAGTTCTAGGTTGCTTCTCTCCTTGATTTATGACGGTTGCAGCATCCTGGGGTTTGCATTATTGCCATTTGCAATCTTCCTAACCAGCTTCCGACAAACAAAGCGAATGGGGGAAGCTGGGTTTGCTTAAGGACTGCAGGCTTCACCTCACAACTGCAGTGATTCACTTAACAACTGTGACAAAAATAGTCATAAAATTGGGCAAGACTCACAGAACAATGGCTTGGCTTTGCAATGGAAATTCGTGTCCAACTATGATCGTAAATTGAGGTAATAGTAAGGAATCTGGCTTCAAAAGTCAAAACCAGTTTTGGAAGCAATAACGCAGCATCTATCATTGCCGCAGGTGTCCAATCACCAGGGGTTTAAACCTTACTTGAAGGCATCTTGAGAGCTTCCACTGCAGGGGCAGAGATGAAGAACCCACTAACTGGGCTTGCTGTGCGTCAGATCTGGGAAGGCGGTTTGCTGTGACAAGTCAACCGAAACCTCTGTTGCAATCATTGGGCTGTTGCTATCATCACTCCAGGAGAGATCAGGACAATGATGATATTCCAGGAGCATCTTAGGTCTCACCAGAGGAGGTTCTGGATGTTTGTTTTTTAGTGAGCACGTCCCCGGAGGAGACAGAATGCAAATTCTGGAGAAAGCATGATCCATACAGAGGAATAAGAATGGGAATAAGAGAGAGTGAGAGTGAGAGTGAGAGTGAGAGTGAGAGTGAGAGTGAGAGTAAGAGTAAGAGTAAGAGTAAGAATGGGGAGGAGGAGGAGGAGGAGGAGGAGGAAGAGGAGGAGAAGAAGAAGAAGAAGAAGAAGAAGAAGAAGAAGAAGAAGAAGAAGAAGAAGAAGAAGAAGAAGAAGAAGAAGAAGAAGAAGAAGAAGAAGAAGAAGAAGAAGAAGAAGAAGAAGAAGAAGAAGAAGAAGAAGAAAAGAAGAAGAAGAAGAAGAAGAAGAAGAAGAAGAAGAAGAAGAAGAAGAAGAAGAAGAAGAAGAAGAAGAAGAAGAAGAAGAAGAAGAAGAAGAAGAAGAAGAAGAAGAAGAAGAAGAAGAAGAAGAAGAAGAAGAAGAAGAAGAAGAAGAAGAAGAAGAAGAAGAAGAAGAAGAACACTGGCTCCTAGGAGCCCAGCCAGCATGGCTAATGGTGCTAGAATGTGAGTGGAGTCCCCCATCATCCAGGTCATGGTTGTCCCAAAGATGCTTTTCCAAAAGGCAACTGGACTTTCTTGGTTTTGTTCCTTGAAAAGTCCAATTGTTTTTGGGAAAAGCTCCTTTTTGCTGTTGACTAGAATAAAAGAGTCCAAGAAAATGCAAATTTGAGGAAAGACATCAGTGGCGTGTCTACGCTGTCTTCAAATACAGCTAGCCAGCCACACATCTGTGGTTAAATACAGCTTAGGCAGGGTGAGGGAAAGGCTGGTGAGCTGCGCAGTGCTGCAACTAATAATTAGTTGCCCGTTTAGAGGCTGATGTCAGAAGGTGGAGACGCGTTTCCACTCTGCAATTAAGGTAGGGGATTTGTCAGTGTGCAGTGGGGCCCTGGACGTGGTCTGTAGGCTGCATGGGCTGCCCCAGGGAAGGAGATGAGCTGTCATCTTCAGCACGTGCTTCTCTCCAAAGAAACTCATCAAATAAAGATACAGTTGGTCCTTGACTTATCTCCACGGTCATGTGATCAAAATTCAGACATTTAGCAACTGATTCACATTTATGACAGTCGCAGCGTTCCGGGATCATGTGATCCCCTTTTGCGACCTGCTACTTTAATCCAGAGATCAGAAAGAATTTTGGCGTATGAAGGCAAATGAGCAAAAACCCTGAGTTTTGTTGTTGTTATTGTGGTTAGTACCTCTTTATAAACCCTTATTAAGACAACGCCTGGAATACTGCATCCTGTTTTGATCACCACATTACAAAAAAGATGTTTAGACTTTGGAAAAATTGCAAAGGAAAGCAACTAAGATGATTAAGGGCCTGAAGACAAAAACATATGAAGAACGGAACTGGGTCTGGTTAGTCTAGAGAAAAGAAAGACTAGGGGAGACATGATAGCGGTATTCCAGTATTTGAGGGGCTGCCCCAAAGAAGAGGGGGCCAACTTATTTTCCAGAGCACCAGGGGACAGGATAAGAAACAATGAATGGAAACAAATCAAGGAGAGAAACAACCTGGAACTAAGGAGAAATCTCCTGACAGTGAGAACAATTAACTAGTGGAACAGCTTTGCCTTCAGAAGTTGTGGGTGCTCCATCACTGGAGGTTTTTAAGAAGAAACTGGACAATCACTTGTCTGAAATGGTACAGGGTCTCCTGCTTGAGCAGGGGGTTGGACTAGAAGACCTCCAAGGTCCCTTCCAGCTCTATTCTGATTGAAATTAAATTGTTATTGTTTTTTTTTTTTTTTGAAGCGAGGCAGCTGGCCAAATCAAATCAGGGTGCTTTGCTGCTTCAGCACACTGAAATGGAGCAAATCTATGCATCCTATGCATAGATATAGATCTACAGGCCTCCACAAATGAATGCTTCATTACTGTGTGCAACATGCAGAATTCCTCATTTCGGAAATGCAGTGACTTGACAAATCCCTTGTCTCCAAAAAACAAAAACAAAAAACCAAAGACAGAGGAAAATAAAGCAGCTTTCCGGGGCAAAGGACATACATTTCTTCCTTACCCTGCCTCTGGAGACTCCGTTGCTCATGTTCCTTCCACGGAGTTCGCAATTTTGCTAGAAATAAATCAGTGCACTAAAGATCCTGTGTGGTGGACCTATCAATCAGAGTGGATTATGCAGTGGCAGCATCTGCAAAGACAGGAAAATGAGAAAAAGAGGCGAAAGAAAGAAAGAAAGAAAGAAAGGAAGGAAGGAAGGAAGGAAGGAAGGAAGGAAGGAAGGAAGGAAGGAAGGAAGGAAGGAAGGAAGGAAGGAAGGAAGAAAGTAAATCAGGGAGGAAAGATTGGATCACAACCAGGCTATTCAGCAAACTTTGTGTTCCAGCCTTGCCTCAGGGGTCACCTTCTCTACGTTTAACTCTAAAATACCAATTCGGTGTTCATTAAAGTAAACCCCAGAGAGAGTGGAGCTGCTAAAATACTCTTCCTCTCTCCCTCCCCCCTTCCCACTGTTTTGTTTTATTTAATGGTGCACTTTTATACAGATGGCAAAGCATGGTAGGAGATTTGAATTCAACCACCACCTGGGCAGGCTTGGGAGGAGACAACCCCCCCCTCCACCCCCCCTCCAAGGATGCTGGAGGGAAAAGTGAAAAGAAGAAACATCCAGCCAGGCCATATTTCGAAATCTCACCTGCTGGGCTCAGTGAGAGGGGAAGAAAGGCTGTTAAGGTCACTCACAGTTTGAGAGACATCCCGGAGTGACCAGTAGAAAGGGAGAACATCTTTGCTTGGGCTGTTAATTGCTTATTAACTCAACGAACAAATGTATATAATGAAGAACCAGGCTCGGTGCCCTTTGAGTGGAATGTGAAGTTCCTTTTATTATGGCAGGCTATTCATCTTTCTTTCTGAAAAGTGGAGGGCCTTCAAACATGAAGTTCTTGTAGTGAAGAGAAGGAGCAGGGGGAGACATGATAGCAGGGCTCCAGTATTTGAGGGGCTGTGACAGAGAGGAGGGGGTCCACCTATTTTCCAAAGCACCTGAGGGCCAGACAAGGAATAACGGATGGAAACGGATCGAGGAGAGATTCAACCTGGAAATAAGGAGAATTTTTCTGACAGCGAGAACAATTGATGGATGGAACGGAAGTTGCCTTCAGATGTTGTGGGAGCTTCATCACTGGAGGCTTTCAACACTGCCCTCTGTCAGAAATGGTGTAGGCTCTCCTGCTTGGGTGGGAGGAGTTGGGCTAGATGACCTCCAAGGTCCCACACTCCTGGTGTGTTTCTCTTATTCCAAGAAAATGAACAAACGCATTCTAGAAAAGAGCTTTCTTAGCAGAACGATAGAGAGACACGCCTTGCCAAAAAGAGGGAAGTGATACCATGAGGAAAGGAAGAGAGAGAGAGAAAGAGAGAAAAGAGGAGGTGGACAAGACTGCAGTTAGCAATCAGATGTGCGCATGGAACATTTCTTGAAAAGTAAATATTTTTAGTATATTTTTTATGCTGCCATTTGCTGGTTATAATTATTTTGATATTTTAAATGGCTCTCCAGAATGGAAGTTTAAAATGTGGAAATGGGCTTGGTTGGTTCTCATAAAGGTAAAACACAATGACTTTATATTTATTTCTTGCAACTTCAGTACTTCTGAAGTTCAATGATCATTGGAAAGCCCTGACTGACTTTTTTGTAAGGAACAGGAAAAAAATGAAGTTATGGTGTATATGGTTTTGATCACAATTCATAGATTTGTATTTATGGTTATAACTGCAGTAAAAGAAAACTGGGAGTCACTTCCTAATAACTCTTCTTCTTCATCATCTTCTTCTTCTTCTCCTCCTCCTCCTCCTCCTCCTTCTCCTCCTCCTCCTCCTTTTCTTTTCTTCCTCCTCCTCCTCCTTCTTCCTCCTTCCTCCTTCCTTCTTCTTCTGTTTTATCTAATATCTTGGCAGTTTGATAAAATACCACAAAGATTTGGATGGATGAAGTAGCTAGTAGGAACTGATGGTCTTCGGTCTATCAGGGAGAAAGGCCAGTGGCTGGAGATGACCAAAGTTGGTGAAATCCCTTCCCAAAGCAAAGTCCATTTCAATGACGTTCTGCAGACAAGTCGGAAGGTTTGGGGGATGCCTCCCTCCCTCCATTTCCGCGTTTGTCCCAACGTCTGCTTTTTTTCTTCCTAGGCTGATGCCAAGATGGTCTGTGATGTCGTGAGTCGGATGGAAGACACGGAGCCATTCTCTCCTGAGCTGCTTTCGGCAATGATACGGCTCTGGTCCGATTCTGGCCTCCAGGAGTGTTTCAACCGGTCCCGAGAATATCAGCTTAATGACTCTGCTCAATAGTGAGTTTTGCTCAGCCTTTTGAGATTGTTTCCGCAAAAAGCACCAACCAGGAACAATAGCCTTACCACTACTGTGAAGATACATTAAAACAGAGGTCTCTGAACTTGTCAACTTTAAGACTTGTGGACTTCAACTCCCAGAATTCTCCAGCCAGCCATGGGTGGCTGGGGAATTCTGGGAGTTGAAGTCCACAAGTCTTAAAGTTGACAACTTTGAAAAGTCCTCCAGTAAAAAGATCTTGCACATTTGAAAATGCATCTCTTTCCCCCTCACCTTGACAGGTTAAGAAACTAGGGAGAGTCTGATTGTGATTTGAGAAGGAAGGAAGGAAGGAAGGAAGGAAGGAAGGAAGGAAGGAAGGAAGGAAGGAAGGAAGGAAGGAGCCATGATGGTGCAGTGGTTAGAATGCAGTATTGCAGGCTAATTCTGCCGACTTCCAGCAGTTCAATCCTGACTGCTCAAGGTTGACTCAGCCTTCCATCCTTCCCGACAGACAGGTAGATGATGGATAGAGAGATAAGGGATGGGTAGATATAGATGGATATAGATAGATAGATAGATAGATAGATAGATAGATAGATAGATAGATAGATAGATAGATAGATAGATAGATACTGTATTTTCCAGCGTATAAGGCGACCCGGCGTATAAGACGACCCCCGACTTCGGCGCTGAGTCACATGCCTAGAAAGTCATCTTATACGCCGGAAACTACCGTTATTTCCGGTATATAAGATGACTCGGCGTATAAGATGACCCCCGACTTTGGCGCAGATTTCAACGCTTTCAAAAGTTGTCTTATACGCCGGAAAGTACGATACTTTGACCCTTCTGTGATTAAGCTTTTAATTTTGAAATATTTCAAAATTCTCTCCATTCTCCAGACAGCCATTCCATTTTTCTCCAGCAAAGTGGGTTCAAGGAGGCCAGGCATTTTATTATTATGGGTAATTTGTGAAATAAACCTCTACACAGCACTCTGCTATTCAATGTTCTTTTGGGGCTAAATTGCACCTGAGTAAAAAGAAGCAGAACGAGTGCAATAAAGCAGGGTATACCGCTGAGGGGGGGAGGGAAAAATCAATAATAGTGGCTATTACTATATCACTGTGTGATTGTAATGACTGCACGTTTGCCGATCTACCACCGATAGCTCACATACCACATTGGGATAAGATCTGCAGGAGATCTGGGCTGTGTTTCTGCCAGGGATCTCATGATATTGATGCAGAAATAACGAAAAAGAAAAAAAAACAGCAATTAATAAAGCCTTTTTTTCCAATTTTTATTATTTTATTTTCATTACAATCATAAGAAAAAAAATTCAGATACATAAGAAGTTAAAATACAACACACAAATTCTGACATTGCTCACCCATTTCCCCCCAGACCGCATCCCCCTCTCATCTCTTCACTTCCCCCTTCCTTCTTAATAAAGCCTTAAAGCAGGGGTCTTCAAAGTTGGCCCTTTTATGAATTGTGGAAGTCTCAACTCCCAGAATTGAGCTAGTCAGGATTGAACTCCTGGCAGTGAGCAGAGACAGCCTGCAATACTGCATTCTAATCACTGTGCATCATGGATAGATGGATGGATGGGCAATAGCAATACAATTTGACTTATATACTGCTTCAAAATGCTTTAAAGCCCTCTCTAAGTAGCACAACGCAGCTTCTCTCAACTTGCAGCTTGACAAGGGATGGTCCTCCCCTCTCCAACGCTTGCCAACTTTGGGCTTTAAAAACCCCTCATCTTTATGTAGATCCAGATACCTTCAAAGACCTCTTATTCTTGTTACTTCCAGCCTTTAGAGAAGCCTAAGCAGGTCCAGCCTTGCAAAAATACCATGTCCTCTTTTTTCCTTTTAGAAAGCTGGAATAAACCAATGGAGTTATCTGGCTGGTTTCCCCCCCCCCCCTCTCTAGCAGGGGAAACCCATTCAGATCTTTTCTTCTGCAGAAAGCTGCTAATGAGCACAAGTCTTCTGTAAGAGAAAGAGGGGGGAAAACCTTCATTTTTAGGTAGATGGTTGCCAGGGGTGCTTTCTCTTCCCAGCAATGGAAGAGGGAAATTGCAAGAAGAAAAGGCAAGGAGAGAAGAAAAAAAAGAAGGAAAGGGGGAAAGAGAAAGAAATGCTTTAAACATAATAAGCAGCATGAAATTGTGGGAGAAAGCAACAGCGAGTAAAGAGAAAAAGGAAGAAAGGATGGACCATGATGGACATGATCAAAGAGGAAACTTGTTCTGCTGAAATCTGGGCATGTTCCAATTTTATTTTATTTTTTTACTTAGTAGAAGTATTTATACATTGCTGTTTGGCTTGTTCTTAAAATAAGATCTATCTTTTTAAAAGGCAATAATTAAAATGCTGATAACCCTCTGGCTCAATCAGCATTTCTCGGAGCTGTGGGTGTCTTGTAGACCCCTTGACCTAGCAGTAAGGTCCTCCTCCATTCAGAACAGGTCACTGGTCTCAGAAATGTATTTGGATCACCACATTTTACAAAAGTTCCTAGCACTTGCCAAGAGTTGTCAAATCATGGAAGAAAGGATGGGGATCCTAGAGCAGGGGTTCCCAACCTGGCCCACTTTAAAAAGTGTGGACTTCAACTCCCAGAACCCCTCAGCCAGCAAGGGGGGGGGTGCATTCTGCAGCAATGGATGCACGCTAGTTGGGGAATTGGTTGATGAAGCTTTTAAAAGCTCTTGGCTTCATCAGCTCTCTGATTCAATGGATCACAATTGCCAATCAGGCAGGTCCGGAGATTTAGTTTGAGTTTTGATTCATTTGTTTGGAATGATGGAGAGTTTGCCCAGAACTCAATTTTTAGGATATGTTTGACCTAGCTCAACAACCTGAAGCTCTACTTCTCCTACTGCTACTGTTGGAAATCAGTAAACAGTTAGAATTATTGTTGTTGTTGTTGTTCTTATTATTATTATTATTATTATTTTGTGACTGTGATATTTAACTTTTCAAACATAGTCTTTTTGTTCCAGTTTAAAGAAAGAACAGAACAAATTTCAGATCTGGCAAGTTTATTTTGATTGTTTTGCCTTATAGAAGAAAACATATCTAGCTCAGGGTTGAACTGTGGGGTGCTTGGTGCTCTCTGAGCTTGGTTGTTTTCTTGCAGATGTTTCACTACCCAACTAGGTAACATCATCAGTGCTAGAAAGAAGTGGTGTTTGCAGAGAGGAGGAGGAGGAGGAAGATTGTAGGGTTTTCTTGCATATGTTTCATGACCCAGCTAGGTAACATCATCAGTACCAGAAGGGAGTTGGGTTTGCGGAGAGGAGGACTATGAACTCCTTGGTGCTCTCTGAGCTTGGTAGTTTTTTTGCGGACATTTCACTACCCAACTAAGTAACATCATCAGGCACTAGGTAATGAAAGATCTTGCCTTATTTTACGATTCACCCTGCAGTACTCAACTCAGCCACTGGAGGCAGTTAACATGATGTATAATAAAATAATATATTGTGTCCAAATATAATGCAGTAATTGAAAAGATCAGAAGTGGGTCAGTTCAGTCACTAAATTATGGGTTTGTGGTGAATTATAAAATGTAAAATAGAGATGAAGTAAACAGAGAGCAAGGGGAGGAAATGTGATAGCCGTTGTGTTGACTTGGATGCAAATGTAATGTTATGGTTCCGGCTAATGAAACACTTCAAAGAACTTCCAGGCATTTATTTTACTTTGCACATTTCTTGTGTGTTTGAGATATTAGGAATATGCAATATAGCATTTTACAGATTAGCAATAAAAAGACAAGCTCCTATTGCAAGCTGGTTACATTCAAAAATTCAGTCCAGAGCCATAACGTAAGAGAGTTTCCATCTTATTTTGGAAAAGAATGAATAAAGATTATCGGATTGTTCTAAAAACCTCCTAGAAGGGTTTTGTGAAGAGACCTGAAAAGAAAAAGAAGAAATCACTTCCTTTTATCCATGGAGGAGAATAATATTCTTCCTTGGGCATTTCAAGAAATTCTTCCATAGCTGAAGCAACATTTTTTTAAAAAAAAAATAATTTAATATCTTTATTTTTAATAAAACCATCTTTAATCTTACCAAAAAAAGAAATCTTAAAATCATAAGGTTTTCAGTTTAAGAAAGACTACAAAGGAAAAGCTCGTAAGATATAAAACATAAATAATAATTTGTCATAAATCGCTTGGTTTTGGTATTTATTCATTTCGTTCTGTCTTCTTTCAGCATTGCTAGAGATAGAAGCCATGTTTTTATCCTGATCCCTTCCCTTCTCCTTTTTGTTTTATAGCTATCTAGACTGCTTAGATCGAATTGGAGCTCCGGATTATCAGCCCACAGAGCAAGATATCCTGAGAACCAGGGTCAAAACAACCGGCATTGTAGAAACCCATTTCACATTCAAAAACCTCCATTTCAGGTGAGATGACGCATGAAAGAACTATCCTGAGTCTCTCTGCCTTCCACCACCTTGCAAAAAGCTTTGGAATCCTCTTCTAGTTTGGAAAATTATTTCCTATGGGTTTTATGAAACGTTTCCTAAGAAATGAAGTTGTCCATAGCTTACGGAGTTAGCCTTAAAATGTTTTTGACCTAAACTAAAGATGACAACTTGAAATCCAAATAAAATCCCGAAGTCTTTGATTTGGTCTCCAAAAATGGCTTTTCCATGTTTAATCTGACAACACAACAATAATTTACCAGGCTTGTGAGCTGCCCGTTAAGCTCCCAACGGCTCCCAATATAATAATCGAAGTAAAGAAATTCCAATAAAACCAACTGGAGGAAAAAGGCAAGAATAGCCGAAGGCAAAATGATGTATATGGAGTAAGCATATTAATTCTGTGAACCTTCATTTTGATCCATGTCTTATCCGTATCTTTCTCCTTCCTGCCTCTTCTTGAGAGCGCTGCTCTTGACCTGTCACTCAGAGGACAAGGGTGACTCTTATGTGCTAGGAAAAAGTAATGAAGATTTTTCTTTGTTTCTCCTTAAGACTGTTTGATGTTGGTGGTCAGAGATCGGAGCGTAAGAAGTGGATCCACTGTTTTGAGGATGTCACGGCAATCATTTTCTGTGTTGCACTGAGTGGGTATGACCAGGTACTCCATGAAGATGAAACAACGGTGAGTAATTCCCTGGCTAAAATAATCCTCTTCGGTGTACTGTATTTTGTTCGTAGCCACCACACCAACAAGGTCCTTTCTTAAACCCAAAGGATCTAACAATATTCTTGATTGCTCACATGTCTTCCTTTGATGCAACAGAGATCCCTTATCTATTAATCCATAGTTGGATTTAAGCCTCTCCATTCAGCGGGATGGTCTTAGCCCAGGTAACTCCAGAATTTATCCAGAACTCTTATCCTTTCTCATTGGTTATATCTGACCAGGTATCCTGATGAACAACAGGTTTTATTTTTTCAAAGAAAGAAAGGGGGGGGGACTCTAAAGAGTTTTAATTTTGATTCTTATTCTGCTGAGAGAGGGAAGGGAGGAAGACCCGAGAGATATGCTGCTGTCCAGGGTGCTGACAGGAAGAAAATGAAAGAACAGAACAGGTAGAAAAGAAAATATTTAAAAACAAACTAATATGAACAAAGGCCAGGTAGTGGCTTTTTATCAATCATCGGATCGTGTTTTTCTCCCTTATGCGCATACCTGAAAATCAACACCAAGTTGGAGAGTGTTTCTGAGCAGAAGGCTATGTGATACTAAGGAAAATATGTTGAACAATGATTCCATTTTTTCTTTCCTTAATGCGCTGTATGGAGGGCAAGGGACGTTAAATAGAAAAGTGGGAGAGTTACACGTGAAGGATGTCATCAACTGAACCTCTTGTTATTTTATTTATTCAATTTATAAAATATGTATTTAATCCCTGTGAAATGCAACATTTGGAGCAAGGTGGTTGGGCCATCAAATCTTGGTCTGGAAATACCCAGATTTTGCAGAGAGAAATGGCAGTATCTTTGTAAAAACTGGTTCATATCAGACGGCAAGATTAATATTATTCAGATTATGGATTACTGTATGCTGTTTCTCTGAACAACTGTGTAGAGGGGTGACAAGAAATTGTGAACTGGTGAAAACCTAACTCTTCTGATTCTTTCTTTCATACTTTTTTATGCTTTCAGCCAAAACGAATAAATATGGGTTGGGGGCAGAGTGAAGCTTGAAAATCCTAAGCTTTGCTTAGCTTTTATAGATCTGTTGTCTTTTTTTCTCAATCACAATTCCTAAGCATGTACAGAACTTAAACTTCCAACTCATTGCTTATTTTATAAAGTGCATATTGGCAAGTCCAACATTTTCCAGGTGATGTACAATATCTCCCAGAAATATTGAGGTTGCAAATCTTCAGCACATTGATCCTTCTTTCGTGTATATAAAAATGTTGTTATCTTGAATCATCCCGTCATGAGATTTAGGAAGCTTTCGGACAATTCTAGAAGTTTAAAATGATAAAAAGCAGACTGAAACAAGCAGCAAACAGGACAGAGAGGAAAAAAGTTATCAAATGAAGCTTTTATGATTCTTCTTTCAAATTCTGCTTCCTCATATCGTAAATCTCTACCGCGTGACTGTAGGCTTTGTGGATTTGATACTGCAAGTAGAAAACAAATACTTACCTAGAACCTAGACAGTGAATTTTGGATGTTCCTTGTGGTGTGTGGATTTAAAATGTCAACAGCCCCCTTTGCTTCTAACTGAAGGAGATTCAAGATTCAGCTAACTGTTTCTAAGTTGGGAGAGAACAAAATTGGGTGCATCAAGCTTGTTCTATGGTTTAAGAGCATGATTGATTTAAAGTCTTTGGATCTTATAATTAAATGGATTAGATCAAGAGGCAGGTAACCTGCTTTATAGATGTGGCAAAGTGACAAAGATCTATACTGAATGAAGAAAAGAATGAATGAATGAATGAATAAATTAATAAATGAATGATTAACTCAATATGCTAAACCATCAAAAAAATTAACCAAGTTGAAAAATAACCAAGCATAACATATTGTGCAAATATTGTGTGTCTATAAAACCATACATTGCAGAGTGTGATGTTGTGAGTTTAGACATGGGCGCCTTGTAGAATTCATTCGGGATATTGAATGGGTGATGATGTCAATGTGCCAATGACATAGATTGTGTGATTTGTGTCATGATAAACATGACTTCTCTTCCTGTGCTCTGCCCATCTGAAAATGCCAAGTTGGGCTAGTCAAAAGCAAACAAGGTTTAAGCTATTTTTGTCCTATGAGAATGTTCTCCAGAAGTTAAATTTGCGGTGGACTCAAGCTCTGAAAGAATTGGTATTTACTAATTAATGGGGGGTCAATTTGCCCAGGCGTGGGACGAACTAAGAATGACGCATCAACCTAAATTAAAATTATCTAAATGGTCATCCAGGAGCTTTTAAAAGGATCTTGTGGTTTTGACACAGAGCTTATTATTTTCCCTCTACCCTACTTTACCTGTGGCTATAAAAAATTCAGTGGAAGAGATGAAAAGTTTTATACAATCGTGTTTTTTTTAACATTCTATAGTACTTCCAGAATCTCTTTATCATTCCAATGTTTAACTCAAGGGTCTTCAAACTTAGCAACTTGAAGACCTGTGGACTTCAACTCCCAGTTGCCAAGTTTAAAGACCCCTGGTTTCACTGAAGATTCTAGTACATTTCCCACAACATGTAATTAATTCACATTAACCTAGTCTTCTGGTTTTCACCATTGACTCTTTGAAGCAGACAATGAGTTTCCCTTGCTTTCTTGCGTAGGGAAAATGCCCCCATTTTCACCATCACTTTAAGTCCTTCACATTTTGATGAGCCTTTAGTGGGCTTCCAAGGTTACCTCATATTTGTTGAAACTTGATTTGAAAATCAGTGCTTTGATGGCTGCGTTGAAAAGCTCTGGTTGGGTTTTAGGTTTTTTTTAGAGGGGACAGGGGTTGGTGCTACCTCGGGAACCTTCAGCAGATCTTCCCATCACCTGAAAAAAGTTCTGTCTTTTCGTGTCTGTCCTCTTTGTCTGGTTAATTACAATTGCAATTTGTACCAGCCGCATTCAGCAGGAACTACAGCATTTGACCAAGACCCAAGACAAAAAAAAAAAAGATACCTCTCTGGTCTAATATCTGCTTTGCTTCTCGATAACCCCTATGACTCTCTGGGTTGGCTTCAACCTCCGTTATGGCTGCTCCTTTCTGCTATTCCATTTCCACCTTCAGCCTCTCGCTTCCAACTCCAGCAGGCTTCTTCACCATCACTTTCCTTGGACTGATCTTATCTAACAGAACAAAGGCAAAAATAATGAGGTTTTGAGAGACCCTCCCAATTTGGCAGGTATGAAGCTTCTCTTGAACTGAGAAAAACCATAGAGTTGAAAGCAACTGAAGGACAGGACATCCCCCAGGCTGATTTTGCTGTGAACTAGACCTACCACCGTATGCCATGTACCTTGTTGCTACTTAACTGATGCATTGATTCTGTTCTTGTTAATAATCATGTGATCACTTTATTCACATATCCACATATTGATATTTCATGCATGCATTCCAACTAAAACCACATTCCTCTCCTTCTTGCATTTGAACTTGTGGCATTATTGGAAAACACCAAATTACAGTCTAATCTAATCTTTCCGCTTGAGGCATGAACTATAAACTTAATTAATCGATAAATATTAGCATTATTCTTAGGTATTGTCTTCCTAGTCCCTTGTCCTTCCCTTTCCTCTTCTTTTTTTTCTTTTGTCCTTTGTTTCTTTTGGGATATGATTTTGAGCAGACCCCCTTCCAAAAAGTATCAGCTTAAGGACATTAATATTAAACCAACGAACTAACAAATGTTAAATGAAATAACAAAAGGCCAAATCTCACAGCAAGATTATTGTCCTGAAGAGTCTTCTCCTCTTAGCCTGCTTTCAACTCTGGATTAATTCGAGGGTGTCATGCAGCCATCCTTGGTTAATGTCTACCGTCAAATACCGTCCCACGCAATCAATGATGATACGGTCAACATTTTCACTGATCTGTTCTAACAAACCTGCATGATTTGCACTTCAGCTTCAATTTGCAGCCTGTAAGGGCAGAAACAATTCCTCCTCTCAGCCATCCAGATGCATGTGCATGGTGAGTTATCTGAGATGGAATCCTGTTTATTTTTTTTCCAGAAGTTATTATTCAAAATATTTAGCTCCGTTAAAAGGAAAGAAAGCCACGCGCTTCAGTGCTGCTAACTGAAGCTCACATCTATACCAACTGCGTCTCTTTGGCTTGTGTTCCTGCAACACACTTAACTGTTATTGAGTAGACCCACTTCCTGGGTTCACACAATGAATTAAAGTCTACCCAGGTCAAACAGATTTGGTGAATTCAACATGCGAAGCCATTAAAAGAAACTGACCAGGGTTAAAATTGATCCAACTGAGCATCTTCTAAACATGGTGTTTAAGTGTGTTGTAAAAACCCAGTTGTCATATATGTACACATTTTTTTTGTATGTAAATATGGGCCATATTGCACCCATTGTGGTCTGCTTCCTTTTGAGTTTTTTTCTTTCTTAATTTTAGATGCTTCGCTACATGTTAAGTTGGCTTTGCAAGCACCCTGGCCTGACACATTATCTCTTTTATGTTACAGAATCGCATGCACGAATCACTGAAGCTGTTTGATAGTATCTGTAACAATAAATGGTTCACAGATACCTCCATCATCCTGTTCCTCAATAAGAAGGACATCTTTGAAGAGAAGATTAAGAAATCCCCATTAATTATCTGCTTTCCAGATTACACAGGTAAATAAAGCACCTCCTTTCATTTTTTTTCAAGAAGAAATATATGCAGGAAGAGTGTCAGCCGCCACCTTATGTTTGCTTGTGCTTCGCTGCTATGCGGTGACAGACTGCCATGAACTGTGGGGAGGGGAAATGAAGGAGGGAATGCTTGGGGAAATGAAAGTAAGTGCTGAATCTCCTCAAGATGCTGCCTCAAGGTCACCCAGCTGGAAGAAGGAGCGAGCTGCATACCAAAGTATGCTTGGACTGACAGTCATGAAAACATCTTGCCTGAAACCTGATTGCTGATACTGGGATGGGCAATGAGAGACAATTAAGGGAGGGAAACGTAGATACATTTGATCTCTAATAAAACTACACCTTTCTCAACAAATGGAACCAAGGATCATTTCTATTTAGGCATTTGAGTAGCGGCAGGTCTGACAAAAGAGTATTTTGCGACTTGCCACTTTTGCCCTTGGTTAAGGCAAAAATTCCCAAACTATGATCCACAAAGAGAGCAGATGTTGTATCTCAATTGTATCTGAAAGGGCTAGGGAAAAATCAAGACTAAATATGGCCCCATAGCTGATTAAATCATATTTGGATAACAGACTCGGAGGGGGATTTGAAGAGGCTTAGAATTACAAACAGGAACTTGCCCTAAATCCAACATGGGCATAATATGGATGCCGTTGCTAGTTAATACTTTTCTCTGAAAACAAGCATTAGCTAAGTAGAAGGTTTTTTTTTCTTCATTCTAGCCTAAAGTCCCTGCTTTGGTTGCAGAACAAGAAAATTTATTAAGCATTTTGCTATCATCACCAGCAACATTGGACTAAAGGAATTGCATCAGTCCATTAGACGCAGGGGTCCTCAACCTTGTCAACTTTAAGACTTGTGGACTTCAACTCCCAGAATTCCTCACCTCAGCCTTGCTGGCTGAGGAATTCTGGGAGTTGAAGTCCACAAGTCTTAAAGTTGACATGGTTGAGGACCCTGTATTAGAGGACCCTGAAACTTCAAACCCTTCTCTTTCCTCATCATTCCTCTCCTTGACTGGTTGGTTCCCCCCCCCCCCGTCTGCCAAGGGGAGCCAACATTAACAGCCACTTCTGGGAAATGGGGGGGGGGGGTCAAAACATACTTTTTTTTGGCTGTGTTTCTCTCCCTTGCAGGACCCAGCAATTTTGTGGACGCAGTGACTTACATCCAGACGCAGTACGAGAGCAAGAATAAGTCATTCAACAAGGAGATATACACACACATCACCTGTGCCACAGACACCAACAACATCCAGTTTGTTTTTGATGCTGTAACTGATGTCATAATTGCCAATAATTTGCGTGGATGTGGACTATATTAAAACCCCTTCCTCCCCCCCCCACCTCTAGAAGAATCTCAATTCATTGCGTTGTTTGATTCGGTCTCCTTACTCTTCGTATGTAGCCCTAAGACCCATCAGTTTGTTTCCGATGTAAGGGTCAGGGAGCATGGGTTGTGCACTCCACTTTGGTGTCTTGTGGTGGGGGAAAAGATCTTGCAAATTGCTCTCTGTGCCCGCATTCACTGAGTTTTTCTTCACCGCGTACACGTCAAGGGATAAAAGAGCAAATAATCAGCTCTGGAAATGCCCTGAAGAAATTTTCATAAAAATTCCTGTTGCTGATTCTGCAAATTTTGCTCAAACTTGCCACTCTTATTTCCATTTTTCCATATCTCCTCCTCTGCCTTTAAATTCTCTGATTTCTTTTTTTTTTTCACAAAAAAATTAAGACGATAAAAAAATAGATATTATTATTATTATTGTTGTTTTGGCTGATTTTTTTTTAAAAAAAATTCCATTGTTTCTCACTCTCCCCCCCCCTCCAATCTTTTCCCCTCCATCCAACCTGGACTTTCACGTCTTCAAATTTTACTGCTTTTCCATTTCTGAAATAGATTTAAGCACCTGAATGATGAATTTCAAGAGCAAGAATTCCGTGTGTTGATTTTGCCATGCAAGCAAACCTACACAATCCACACATTCAAGGAGTAGGCAATCAGTGGCCAATTCTTAAAACTGATAAAAGAGCAGCCAGTTTTAATTCCCAGAATCAGAGGTGTCTGCAGGATTCATTGTTTTCATCAAAATTACAAAAAACCCACTGCAGTGCAAGTTCCTTTCCTATGTCTGTATAAGGTCATACCTGCACCCAAAAGGGGCGGAGATTTTCCTGAGGTCACACCTGCAAACAAAAGGGGTGGAGCTTGTAACAGCGTTTTAAAACACATCCTATGGGTACCTCTGACAGGATCCTGGGAGCTGAATTGCACACATTGGGAGTTCCTCAGCTTGGCAAAAACTGTAAATAAGATATCCTGTGCATTTAAACTATTAGCAGTTATGAACCCCTGGGCAGGATCTGAAAGAGAACAAGAGTATTAAGAATGAGTTGATAAACAAGCTCTTTTCCTGTAATTAGTATATATTTAAAGCTTTTTCCCCATTTGTTCAGTGATAGTTCCAACAGCTTTTTAAAAAAAATGACGACTGGTCCTCACACTTACAACAGTTGCAGCATTCCCAGGGTCAGGTGATCAAACTTTGGATGCTTTGCCAGCCATCGTTTATTGATGAGTGTTGCATCATAAAGGCAGGGTACAAACCACTAAATACGTAGGATGGTCCACCACCGTGTCCAACAGAATTCCTCCTTATGGTCCAAGGCAGTGTTCCTGGCTCATAGATAGATTCATCAGGTATCATGATGGTCAGAGTGAAGAAGAGACAGTGGAGATGGGAATCTGGTTGGAGATGACAAAGCGTGTCAAAAGCGCCAGGTGAATAGAGCAGAGGGCAAATGACTGCAGGAAATAAGGGAGTAAATAGATGAAGGAAATACCAAGCAAGACAGATAATGAAGCTAAGCATTATGCAGAAGATTCCTCAGTTTGAACAAAGGCAAGTAGAAAGTCCAAGGAAGTTGATTTTGGAATGGGAAAAGTAGCAAGAGACACATTCAGAGGCCAGGAGGAAATGTTTAGTAATAGTAATAGTAGTAAAGTTGGAAGGGACCTTGGAGTCATCTAGTCCAACCCCCTGCTCAGGCAGGAAACCCTACACCATTTCGGACAAATGGCTGTCCAGTCTCTTCTTAAAAACTTCCAGTGTTGGAGCATTGTTTGTAAAACCTACTTGGATTAGGTTCTTCAGAGGTTGTGGGTGCTCCATCACTGGAGATTTTTAAAGAAGAGATTGGATAACCGTTTGTCTGAACTGGTTTTGGGTTTCCTGCCTGAGCAGGGGGCTGGAATAGAAGACCTCCAAAGTCCCTTCCAATTCTGTTTTTCTGTTAGTCTTTTAGATGGTTATGGCTTTTTGGCCACCCAGTAGGACTTTTTTGAAACCGTAGAAGAATGTTAGTTTTGTATGCATCTGTGGAAGGTGGGTGGATAAACTGAATCAGAAATATCAGGTAGAAAAACAAAGATCTTCTTATTGTACCGGGCTCCATTTCCTTATAATCCACCATCCTCACCGTTAGCTCTGCTAATTGGGGTTATGGGAGAGAGGTTCAAGAGATATGCTGAAGGCATCAGATTGCCCTAGAGAAACAAGATAATATAAAGTTGTTTCAGCTAATGGAATTCAGGGGAACGGATGAGAGCAGAAATCATGAAGAGATAAGATCTGAGATATGAGCTTGACCTCAGGAATCTGTTGTGGATGTTCGGCAAGGTTTTTCTAGAAGTGTTCACTTTTTGAGTCCTCAACAAAGCCCTGTTAAAATGTTACAGGTCATCCTCGACTTACAACCACAATTGAACTCAGAATTGCTATCTTGCTAAGCTAGATAGTTAAGTTCTTTTTGCCCCATTTGACCACCTTTCTTGCCGAAGTTGTTAAGGAAATCATTGCAGCTGTTAACTTGGTAACACAGCTGGTAAGTAAATCTGGCTTCCCCAGTCCCCATTCGCTTGTCAAAAGGTTACGAAAAGGGATCACGTGACTCTGGGACACAGTGATGGCCATAAATATGAAGCTGTTGCCAAGCGTCTGAATTTTGATCACGTGATCGCATGACTGGAGATTGACCTTGAGACAGTATAGGTTCTCTGGTTGAGCAGGAGGCTGGACTAGAAGACCTCCAAGGTCCCTTCCAGCTCTATTCTATTCTATTCTATTCTATTCTATTCTATTCTATTCTACTCTACTCTACTCTACTCTACTCTACTCTACTCTACTCTACTCTTCCATATTCTATTCTATTCTGTTCTGTTCTGTTCTGTTCTAAAAAAGTAAATAAGAAAAGATGGGGACTGAAGTAGAGGAAAAGAGAAGGAAACGCATTCAGAAATGGCAAAAACAGGCTTCAGCTGGAGCGGAGTTGAATTTAAATGCTGTCTTGTTGGAAATCTAAATCTGAAACTAAGTCTTAAATTCAGAATTTAGAATAACAACTTCTCCTTTTATTCAATTAAAACTGGGGTTCTGATGGGGTTGAGCTAGGCATTTGATAGCCGGTTGTTGTGGCACCGGATGAGAAGGGGTGTTTTGTTTTTATTCTGTTTTTGAGCCACTATGGGAGATGGGCGGCAATATACGTTCTTTAAACACTTAAATAAATAGAAATAAAATAAAAACTTGGTTGGGAACTTACAATTACTGCAACTGAACGTGAACAATGGAATCGGCGTGTTATTGGAACATGTATCTGGGTATCAGGGGCTTAACTGTTGAAGAGCAGGGCTGAACTTATGGGTTTCATGTTTAATTTTATTTCTTTATTTCTTTTTTTCTAACTTAATCCAAAATATACAATGGACTAAGCATTCGTGTAAATCGACTGTCATATTTGGAAGCTGAATGGAAAACATTGCCTAACTAGTCGTATAGCCGGCTAATATTTTGATAATGTTCCTATCAAATATTTTCAGAGCTGTAAAGAAATCTGTTCGTTTGCTTGTGCTTTGATGCAAATTCACATCTGATACTTCCCTGAATGAAGACCCAAATTGAAAGATTTGGAATTCAATTGTATCTCTAGGGCGGTGTTTCTCAAAGAGCTGTGGTGGTGCAGTGGTTAGATTGCAGTATTGCAGGCTAATTCTGCCGACTGCCAGCAATTCGATTCTCACCAGCTCAAGATTGACTCAGCCTTCCATCCTTCCGAGGTTGGTAAAATAAGGACCCAGATTGTTGGGGACAAAAGGCTGGCTCCATAAACTGCTCAGAGAGCAGTTAGCTGCCAGTCCCCTGATCTTAACAAATGTCTCACTTAGCAAAAGAAATGTTGTACTGAAATCCGTGCCAAAATATAAGGGGATGGAAATGCTTGTTCTGGACTCGACTCTGTGAATGTGGACAAACGTGTTTGCCATAAAAAGTGTGAAACAGCTATTGTAGAAATGCATCATTGATACCCCTACTACACGTATGTACCCCTGCTTGACTTCGGCAGCCCTACAACTTTGAATTCTGATGGTTAGGTGAGATGTGAGCTTTATAATGTGGTTTTAGGTGAGGTTGTGAAGTTTTGAGAGCTGTTGTGGTGAGGTGAGCTGCAGTGTTGCAGTAACTGATCAACGTAACCATCTTACATTGCCTTCAGATCCCCCCAATGTCTTAATGGTGGTGGTATTTGAGGTCCATTAGAATTGTTCATTGTCCCATGTTGAAAAGGGGGCAATGCTGTTTGTGCTGTAATATCATCAGCTCGCCTCGTGACTCAACCGACCTGAATTGCATACTGACATCACTGGATGATGTCATGGTGCGCCTGTCATTTTGGTAACACTGTGGCTTGTAACAAATACCCATGACACCAGACTGAACCTCAAAGCCGTAAATTGCTGGTTTTTTTTTATCTAGGCACTGCGGAGAAGTGCTGTCTGGAAGATGTTTTGTGTTAACGGTTAAAAGCTTACTAAGTAACTCAACGCTCGCGGCAGATAATGTATCCTGCAATCCTATTTAATAATGATTGTCCAAAGAGGGAGTTTTGCTAAAAAGGTTTGAACTTTCCAAAAGAGATTTTACTCTCTGTGTCTGTATAACATGTTGTAGCCCCTTGTAAGGGTGGGGTAGGGTGGGGTGTACAACAAATGACTTTTGGCCTCTGCGTACCTTAGGAATCTGTTTTCAATTTTTCTTCAGCACTAAGATATAATTGATACGCTAGATGAAGGCTGCCTTAACCCATCACAGTAAGCCATAACGTAATTTCCTTCCTTTTAGTCTAGATTCCACACTTATGGTCCACAAACTCTAGTTTATAGGTTTGCGTGGTGTGTGAAGTCAGCAAGTTGTGCTTTGTGTATTTTTTTTTCTTTTAATGACCCTGTAATCCAGCGGCCCGGTTTCTGGCATGCCACAGACCGGTGCCGGTCCACAGAGCAGGGGTTGGGGACCCCTGCTATAATCTCTTACATTTCCTAGTTTGGATCAGGATCAGGGGAGCTTCACCATTTGACTGCCTTAAACCTAGTTTGGGATTATGCTATAGGGGAGGCATGGCAGAAGGGGGCATGTGACTCAAGGAGCCTCATGCTGCATGCCACAGCTTTCCACCCTTTTCTGCATGCCTCAAGATGCATCGGCCCAAGGCTGCTTTTGTAATTTTATTTAAAAAAAACATTTGATCTGGCAGAAGCCCTGTGTTACACTTTTACTCTGTTTTCCACCTCAACAGGGCATAAAATCTCATTCCTGATTTTTGGCAGCATTTTGCCAATATTGAATAAATCGTTGGGATTCCAGCACTGGCCATCCCAAGTTGTTCGATCAGAGCTTTCCGAGATAAATACACCGGAAATTGTTTTATTGGGCTTATCACTTGGTGCTTCAACAGGGGGAAGCATCTGAGCAACCTTTTCTGAGCTTGGAAGCTAAATAGGATTGGGCCAGTTGGGTCTTTGATGGGAGACCTGAAGAGAATTTCAGGGCTGCAACTTAGGATAGGAAGTGAAAAGGATGCAGGTAGAAATCAATGGCAAAGCGTGTGTATTGCAGTGCATTGTTATCCTCTACTGCCCAGAGTTCCCTGGAAATGGAGTGGGTTATGAGCATCGCTAGATAAATAAATAAAATATATGGCTGCCAAGGAAATTGCATGGATGTGTCCATGACTTTCCAGGGAGTTGAGCTCAACACAATGGCATCTTTGCCTCTACAGGTATTTAATGATTTTCCCATTCTGTCTCAGTAAAAAATAATAATGGGTCTGGAGCCAATCTGGAGAGTCCTATGCAACCCTGTAATATATTATCTTCTTGATGTTTGCCGATTTCCTTTTTTTCCTCCCCCCCCCCCCCCATCATATCTCTTCTTTCTTTCTTTTTTCCCTGCTGGCTTCTTAAAATGCTTTACAGAGAGAACAGTTCTGAAAGAGACAGGAGTTTGCTAATTCTGCAAATCAGCTGCAGAATCTTTTTATTCCGATTTTTCTGTTGGTGTGTTTGATCGACCACAACGGTATTAAATGATCATTTTGCATGCTGTGTGTGAATGAGCCTCAGTCCAATCCTAGAGTTCTTTTGATTCTTATTGTAATAATTTATTGGCTGTCATGTATTTATTAGTTACCAAATGTTAATAAAGTGCCAGCTCTTTTCTAGTGTGCGAGACGGTTTATTGAGCTTTCCTATACAAAGACAGGGTGGTGTGGTTGCTCGCGGTTAAGACGTTGGGCTTGTCGGCTGGAAAAGTGACAGCCCAGGATTGAGACCCAAGCGTCATGCAAGGGAGTGAGCTCCCATTACTTTCCCCACTCCTGCCAAGCTAGCCGTTTGAAAACTTGCAAATGCATGGACATGCAAGAGAAGATAGAAAGGAAAAGAAAAGAAAGCAGCGACTTCTGACTTTTTTCAGTTCCTCAATCAGGTGTAGCCTTTTCCTGATTCTCACCAACGTTATTGTGTGAGGTGAATTTTCTGGATGATTTGAAACAGAAAGAAAACCAGGAAGAAAGCATCAGGACTTCCCAAAAGCGAAAATGGCAGCCGTGACCTCGTACTGTTTTTTTTTTAACTTGTATCTCGTGCTCTAGATAACGTAAAAAAAGGAGAGACGCTTGAAGCTGGGGACAAAACCCAGGTCCTTCAGGCGAATGAAATTAACCTCCAATTTTCCTACTTCTTCTGCATCCTAAAATGATCATTCATCCAACTCTCGTCAACGGGATTCTTTAACTTTTGTTTCCTTGACAATTGTTCTTTTCTCTTAAGCTTAACTTGGTTTTTCTTTCTCTCTCTCTCTGTCCCTCTCCAACCCCCTTTTTTCTCCTCTTCTGCCATCTCCTTCCTCCCTTCCGATGCAGAACCGCATGCACGAGTCTTTAATGCTCTTCGACTCCATCTGTAACAACAAATTCTTCATTGATACCTCCATCATTCTCTTCCTCAACAAGAAGGACCTGTTTGGTGAGAAGATCAAAAAATCACCTCTCACCATCTGCTTTCCTGAATACACAGGTAGGAGGGCTCTATCTGGGATTCTCTAGATCAAACGTATCAAACACAAGGCCCGGGGCCGGATGCGGTTTCATGTGGCCTGCGAAGCCATCCTGGAAACAGTGAGGGAACGGCCCCCGCTGCCTTGGCCCTGGCCCAGGCCGGCCGGGAGCCAATGTACAATTTTGTGGTGGCCATCTATGCTGAAAAGTATTCAGTCTTAGCTCCACAAGGCAGTCTGGAAACAGGTTGGTGCCGCAGGTGCTTGAGGGCCAGGCTGGGCATTTGACCTCTGCTGCCCAGGGCTCCGGGCAGCCCACGCCACCATCCAGCCCCCCCGCATGGCCTGAGAGGAACAGTGAGGCTCCTCCAGTGGACCATGCCTTGGCACTTGCCCTGGTCTCATCCCCTTCTGCCAGAGACCCTCAGATCTGTCCCACTCCTGCCCAGGTACCCTTGACGCAAACAATGTAGAGCTGTCCATGCCCACCCAGTAGGCCACACCCACTCTGTCCATGCCCACCCAGTAGGCCACACCCACTCTGGCCACACCCACCCGGCCCCCCAAGGGCAACCGCAATGCTGATGTGGCCCTCAGTGAAATTGAGTTTGACACCCCTGCTCTAGATTTTCAACTTGGACAACTGTGCTGGCTGGGGAATTCTGGGAGTTGACGTCCACACCTCTTAAAGTTGTCCAGGTTGAAAAATACAGCTCTAGATTTGCAAAGGCTAAACAACCCAAGCATCCATATGGGAGGGGAACTGACATTTCAGACACTGTGACAATGAAGGATATCATTGTGGCTTGTACCAGACATCTAGAAATGTTGGACCTCACAGTTCAAGCAGAGTCTCTTGAAACATTAGAGAACATTCTAGCATGAAGGTCCTTGGTGGTGGTGCATGGTTAGAAGGCTTTATTGCAGGCTAACTTTGGCTACTGCCAGGAGTTTGATCCTGACCGGCTCAAGGTTGACTCAGCCTTCCATCCTTCTAAGGTCGATAAAATGAGGACCCAGATGGTTGGGAGCAATATGCCGACATTGTAATCCGCCCAGAGAGGGCTGCAAAGCACTATGAAGTGGTATATAAGTCTAAGTGCTCTTGCTATTGCTCTTAATTCAGCCCTGTTTCCAAGACATTTCTTGTTGTCTTCTAAAATTGTGGAACACAACCTTAATAATAAGAATAATAAAGTTGGAAGGGACTTTGGAGGTCATCAAGTCCAACTCCCTGCTCAGGCAGGTAACCCTATACCATTTCGGACAAATGGCTGTCCAATCTCTTCTTAAAAACTTCCAGTGTTGGAGCATTCATCGCTTCTGGAGGCAGGTTGTTTCAGTGGTTAATTGTTCCAACTGTCAGGAAGTTTCTCCTTAGTTCTAGGTTGCTTCTCTCTTTCATCCCTTTTGAATGTGCAGATTCAAAGTCAAATCAATCCAATTCAATCCAATTCATCTGTACAGATTGGGGTTGTTGTTTTTTTAAAAAAAGTCAGCTGGGATTTGCAATTCTTTGGGCTCCAATCAGAAATAGCCTGTTTGCATAACTGCTAAATTCCCTTCAGTCTCTAAAATGCAGCCAATTTTTTTTTTAAATCATTCTGAAGGCATCTACTTTAATTTCATTTAATAATTCAAAGATTTGATTCAGAAGGATGAATGAAGAGTAACACGAATGCTTGTCTAACAATGAGGACAATTAACCAGTGGAACAGCTTGCCTCCAGAAATCGTGAGTGTTCCATCACTGGAGGTTTTTAAGAAGAGACTGGGCAGTCACTTGTCTGGTATAGGTTCTCCTGCTTGAGCAGGGAGCTGGACTAGAAGACCTCCAAGGTCCCTTCCAGATTCTATTCTATCTTAGCCTTAGACCAGTGTTTCTCAGCCTCAGCAATCTTTAAGAAGCAGACTTCAATTCCCAGCATTCTCCAGCCCGCCTGGCTAGGGAATTCTGGGAGTTGAAGTTTATGCATCTTAAGCTTGCTGAGGTTGAGAAACACCAGTCTAGGGAGTTTTCACTCTTCTATCCAGCTGTTGGCAGAGGTGCAGTGGTTCCGTGGAATGCTAACATGTTCTGATATGGGCGTTGTCTTACCTGGATAAGGTTCCAGAATTTTAAAAATATAATTTAAAATAGCCACAGGTCACAGGGATAGCCAGACCTTGCAGGATCTTTATGGTCTGAAGTGAAATTTGAAGCATGGATATAACCTTTTAAAGAACTAGGTTGTTTTGGGGGGGCACTACCTTCTTTGTACATAAATGCACCAGAGTTGGCTTCTGGTTGTTTAAAATGTCTTCCCTCCTCTGTCATAATCACTAAGAAGCATCACTAGTGCAATTAAGAAATATCCAGGATACCAGGAAAAAGGGTTTCAGTCTTGTGTTAACATACTGGAGTTTGGAACTCTGCAAAGATTCCAGGGGGAATGTTCGAGTGATGCTTCAAACCAAAGACGCCTGTAGTTAAACTTTGTGAAGTAACAAAGCCCTGGTCTTCTAGAGAACAACACGCAGTTGCTTCACTTTGGGTTGATTTGACAGTCTCCTCCAGAGTGAAAAGCAATTTCAGGCTTCTGATGGTCTCAGAGGGGGCTGTCGGAGTGAGTTTG